ACTACCCTCCTCTAGGGGGGTCCGGGGGCATGTTCCCCCGGGAAGATTTTTTTTAAAATGTTGAAGTTAAAAGCATCAATCTGGTGCACTTTGAGAGCAACATTAGGAGCTCTATGGATAAATCTCTCAACATCCATATGAAACAGAACTGGAAGCAGATTTTTCTTTTTCTTTATGGATATTCTACAAATCACTCCCCTTGCAAACTGTATTTTTTTTACTGTCATATAGTATTTTATACCGGTTTACTTCATTCTCTTATTTTTTTATAACTATAATGATCATAAAAATATGTGCCTTTACCTCACTGGTTGGAAAAAACCGCGGCATGTGTACGGCTCCTTATGGGTACTGCAATTTTTGAATTGCCGGAGTGGCGTTCTGGTGCTCTCCGTCAGAACTACACCCCTGTCAGACGAGACATATACCACGTGATGACACGTTAGGCTCGTGTTGTGTTCAAGGACCCTGACCTTGGCCAGGAAAAACAGGCACTCGCTTGTTTAATTATTTTACGGTCTAGATTTCTAATATTTTTTTGTTTTTTGCGTGTGTTCATAAATTACCTTGAGGGCCGTACCAAATGGTCTCGCGGTCCGTATACTGCCCGGAGGCCGGAGGTTCCCCACCCCTGCTTTACTGTGACATGTCTCCATGCTTTAATGTTCAAAAAGCTCTTTATTTTTCTCATACTGCCTGTGCTGCAGCACCTCTTTTCACCCTCTGTCTGAAACCAGAGTCCAGCCTGCTCTGGCCGACTCTGTTGTGATTGGTCAACCGCTTAGAGATGTCTCACCCCTTAGCCTATAACGTGCAATGTGTTGGAGTGCTAGCCAATAGAAGCGCGAGAGTTATAATCACTATGTTTCGGTAGTAAACAAAAAAAAACCTACATAAAAAACCTATAAACACACTAAAGGAAATGGAAAACCAGCATATAAAGCATAATAGGGCCCCTTTAACATGAATAAAACTGCTTTTTATACCTGCATAAAATAGCATATATTCATACTAGTGAGTACACAAAGTTTTGGTTGTGATTCTCCACAGCATCTGGCCCCAGGAGTCAGACATAGCTACAATTCTGGTTTCTCTTTTTATCCACCTGTCCATCATGCCCCATCTTTCTATCTGTTAATTTGTTTCTGGTGTACTGTACCCTCTGCCCTCCTTCTATATTTCTACCACTCTCTCTTTACGCCTGCCATTGTGTTTATCCATCTAATATTTTCCTCTCTCGCCGTGCTTCTGCTGTCCTATCTGTTGGTCTATCTGTGTGTTTGTGTTTGCACTGATAACAGTTTAGCCGGATCCATCGATACCCGACACCTCTGAGGGCACCATTGTTTATTCTTTCTCGCTCTTCATCCACTGTTGCTCGGGAGGAGGGGCCGTGGCCTGCAACTATGAGAAGAGATACAGAGAAATAAAACTGTGTATATGTGTGTTTATGTGTGTGTATAATGGACTGTGGCAGACTGAGAGGTGCATGAATGAGTTCTAAAACCCGTAAATGAGTTAGCATGTTACCCCTTCCTGTTCCCTCGTCAGTGTTTTTTTGAACGTGTGGTTAGAAGCCTGAAATAAGGTCTGTGGTTTAAACAAGCTGAAGAGATTTTCACGTTTTGTTCTCTGGTGAATTTGCGTCATTCTTTGTGCAACAAAAACGTTGGTTGCTAACAAGTGACTAAATAAACTACTAAACACCATCATGCCGAACATTAGGTGCCTTTAGCTTAGCGGTGGTGATGCGTAGCCATGTGACTGTGATGAAGTTTGTTTATAGCCTAGCGTTAGCTTTTTACTTCAAAAATCCTAAAGTGGCGTTAATATGTGGAGATTAAGAGTTTAGGATTGAGTAGCTGATGCCTCTGAAAGGCTAAACGAGAGCGACAAGGGAGAGGAAGAGAGATTCATGAAGGGAATGAAGGAGAGGGAGGGGATGAACTGATTGAGCTGACAGCCACCATTTTTCTACCCCTTTTGTCGTGGAATAACTTATTTTAAATGCACACCGCACACATTGCGTTATAATGTAATGTGGTCATTTTGCTTGATAGTGCATTTGATGATGATGGGGCTGAATTGTGAAGGGTCCCAATGCCCCCGATACCCCATAGTGACGGGCTTAATGGCAGCGCTTAAAGTAGTCTGGTGCAGGCACACACGCAAAACACACACACAAATACATAGAATCCACACACACACGGTTTGGATTGCCCTTGTGGCCTATAATGACGACAATAATGGAAAGCGTTACGACTCTGTCCCTGCCATTCTGTCTGGATCCGCACTTAACTGCACACACAAACATATACACACCTGGGCTTCTTTTTAAACCACGACTCGCACATACTGGCACAGAATCACATGTGCACACAAACACTGGACACACACTTCACAACTAGCCTTGTGCTGTATTCCAGAGTCATCCAGGCAAAAAAAAAAAAGGAGCTTATTTCCCTCCTGTGTAGCTCAGAGCGCAGAGATGTCTGATCGG